ATCTATTGTCACTTGAGATGCCATGTCACATCTTCCCTCATCTTCAGTTGCTGCTTCAGGAGCGTCTGAGAATCCCATAAATCCCATGCTCTGACAGCCCTGTGGGAGCTCAAATTGCATTAGGCTTCCACATTTGGGCAGCTAAATCTAACTCTTGACTCCCATTCCTTAATTCAAACTAACTTAATCAACTACTTACATATAAGCAATTTTTCCTGAGTTTTATCACATCCAGTATGTGATCTGTGGATTTCACCCTTATCACTTAACACCTCTTATAAGCAGACCTCTAAAAAGACTACTTGCATTTCATAGTTCACAATCTGATTGTTATTAATAGTTTTCTGACTTTGTATAAAATTTGAAATTTGCATTCATACTCTTCCTGGTAAACTGTTCTGGTGGGTTTATTAGTAAGAAATGAATACACAACAAATGCAACAAATACTGAAATAAATCCATGTTTCTTTAGTCCAGGAAAAATGAATAAAATTGCAACATTTGATAGGCCTGGGTTTTTACAAAATTAGTTCTTAGTACAAGATGAATCCCTAAGAAGTACTTCAGAGACTATTTCTTTCTTGACCATGGTTTTAAAAGCTGATATTACTTTTTTTTCACTTCCTCTCTGCTTTCACATCCTCTGCAATTCACTACATTATTAATTTTTTAATCTCCTCCTGGCCCTGTGGAAGGATGTCACAGAGAGGGTAATGTGCTTTAAGTGTATAGAGGGCGTACTCCCAGCCATTTGCCATCAGAGCCTGGACTGAAGAATGGGTACAGATTCCCAGAGAACTCAAAAAAGAGAGACTCGAGAAGGCACTTCTCTTCAACATCAAAGAATGAAAGCTTGTACTCTTCCTGATCCAGGAAAACACCTACCACGCTGCAGGGCTTGCAATTTCTTACACCCTTCCCACCAGTTAAGCTGTATTCTCCCTGAGAAAACCGCAGACTGAGTAAATTCCCTTTTAGGAAAATATTCATCAGGTTGCTCCTCAGTGCATTTCTAATTTCCTCACACACCACACCCAGCTCCCACTCTGATTTGCCCCCCACCTCCACTTCCCAGTAATGTTTCTTTTCTGAAAACCCTTCAGTAGCTACCACCACCGCTTTGGGCAGGATCTCTTCCTGGGTGGAGGACTTGACCCTGTTTTTCTCCTTAATGATGAGGCTGGGATGTTTGTAGTTCTCATCCAGAGTAATAGCAACTTGTGAAAGGAAGGGAAGGAAAAAAAAAAGGAAAAAAATACAAAGCACCAAGTTATTTCTGGTTTTCAGGAAAATAAACAGTAATCTCAAAGGAAGTGAATAAAGGAGAGAAATTATAAAATTTAAAAAAAAAAACCAAAAAAAAACTAAATACCCCAGGAATATACAGCATGTTTTTGTCAGACAAAAACTCAATAGCAGAAACAGTATCCAGCAGGGCACGCCTGTTCTCTGGCTTCACTGTGCCTTTATTAACTCATCTTTACTCTGACTGAGGGGATCCAGGCTCTCTGGTCAGTCCCATCTGGCAGCCTGATTTTTTGGAATAAAACACAAAGCTGAATCTCTCAAAGCCACATAATATGTAAAAAGGTCCTAGTTGGTACAGAAACGATTCACCCCAACTCGTGACACCGAGAACTGTGTAGGTGGGAGATGCCTAAGAAAACCTGGGTGCCTGTTTCAACCAATGGGCTGCAGAATTTCCTCAAATTCTGACAGCCTGTGAGTTTTTGATAACACAAGGGATAGACTCTGGTATGTGCATGAAAGAACATGAGGTTAATGCCAGGCGAGATTTGGCTTACCTGCACGGCTATGAGCTCTCCTGAAGTCTGCAAGAAAATAAATGAATAATTAAAATTACTGCAGAATGTTAATATACCTAATTTTAGTACAGCATGGGGCTGGAGGGGTGTAGATTTGACAAAATTAGTTTTCAGCTTTCAACTCACCCAGTTCATTCTGGACTTTTTCTGAAAAGGACAGAAAGTTATATTATCCTCATGCATGGCAAGGCTCTTCTGTAGGGTATCTGTGCTAACAAGAGTATTTCCGATACTACATTACTTAAGTATGACCTGGCCTAGGATTTTGGAAACGATGCTAGCTTAACTTTGGAGGGCTAGAGGTTATCTAAACCCAAGCTAGTCACCTGGGCTTTGTGTAGAGTCAGAAGAAAGAGAATGGCACATCAGAAAGTGTTTCTTCTCTGCCATTTCAACCACCTATCTGAAACTACTCTTAGATGCCTTCAGCTCTCAATGAGGGAGCCAAGAATACTGCCTTAGCCTCAATGCCCAAAATTTAGATAACTAGTTAGGTGAGCTGAATCACCTGCAGGTACATACAGGACCTGTGGCCATGCTTCCAGACCCTGTCAGATGACAAACAGGAGCTTCACATGGCCAACAGTTGAAATGCATATAAAAGTATATATATAGTTTTTTCCTTCCTTCAGAATTATCAGTTTGTTAGAAGGAAGGAAAATCTGTCTTCTACTCAGCTACAGCAAAAATTAAACCCTTAAAGAACTGAAATGATGTTCCCTTGTTATGGAAACAGATGTTCTAGAGCCCAAGATTGTGTCAGATAAACACTGTTTTTTAGGGACAACTAAGTCTAAGTGTCGAGGAGAATGAAGTGCTGCAATAGCCCTCAAATGGTGGCACAGTTCAGTTCCAGAATGGTATTTCTGATCACAAATAATTTAAATTATTTTTAAGGACCAAAGTTAACTTAATATCCTTACCAATTTTGGACAATATATCCTGATTTTCTACAAAGAAACAACATTAAATTAAAAGTTAGGATGACTAAATCAGGTGAATTATGGTACACTCACTATGCATTTTGGAATACTAATATATAGGTTATCTATATATATAGGATTAATCTGTTTATTAATCTGTTTATATATCTGTTTATATATATAAATATATACAGGATTAATCTGTTTATCTTTGTAGAATAATAGACATGCATTATGTAAATTTTCTCTGGTATTAAATAATGTGTTGCACAAATATTCCTGAACGCAAGACATGACAAAATAAATAAAGGAAAATACCAGAAACAATCAGGGAGTGATTCAGACCAAATAGTTCCCAAGTTCATAGAGCATCATAAGAGAAGGAGAGTAAAATCTCTCTCAGTAACACAAAGCTCGAGATTATATTTGTCTCTTGTACACAAATAAAACCCAATGCTATCCTTTTTATGGTTCTTAGCTTCACCTGGGGACACAGCTTGTCACAGTTGCTTTTTGAGAACTCTTCTATTGTCAGAGTTCAACAGGAATTGCGCTGGGATTCTTCCCATTATATTCTTTTTAATGCTGTGATCAGATGCTTTAGTAATTTTTTTTTTCTGAGATGCAATAAATAAAATGTTCCAGTTAAATATTTTCTAGGGGGGGGAGGGGGGAGAGCGCTATATATACTCTCTATCTATAGATATATAGATACATACCTATAGATAAAAAGGGAGAGACTGTGTGTACACATACACATAATACAACTTTTCAGTTACCTTTTTGGTTGGAATAGGGGAGTTAATCTTTGCAAATGTGAAGTTCTGAGAGCATTTTCCAACTCTAGTATTCAAAACTGCATAAAACACCACTATTTTATTAGAACAGTCACCTGCAAAGCATCTTTCAGGGTATGGTCAAAAGAATAGCATGTGGTACTAAATGCAAAGTAGAAAAAAAAAATGTTGTATTACCCTTCTGAAAGCGGTCTTGCTCCTCAGCTGAAAAACAAAGCAACAAACCCAGAAATAGCACAGAATGTTACATTTTTCAAGACAAAACCACACAAAATGTGAGTGAGAATTTCAGTGTTAAAGAATGTTTTCATTTAGGGAACTGAGGCTTGGCACTAAGTTCAGAATATAATTTCAAAATAGGTGGGGCATAAATTGTCCTCTGAAGATATCCATCCTGTAGAAGGAGTCTAGATTATTAGCTTAGATTAGATACATAAAATTCACTGGCTAAAACCAGGTGACATTGAAGCTAATAATACCAGATATCATTAATTTAACTGAAAAACCTAGCTTTAGAATAGAAAAACATTTTCAATATGGGCCCTCTTTCATGATATTACAACTTTTTTAAATATAGAGGATTCTTCTAACCAAAGGATACTCAAAACCAACATAACAAAGCAGTCAAAATACATTCTTACCTAGTTCGTTGTTGAGTTGATCTATCTCTGAAAAAGATTATGTTTAAATATTAAAACACCATTTCCTTTCTTTTTCTTTTTTTTAAACACAAATACACTGAATTTTTTATCTGTTCCACTGTGTTCTGTATAGCAAGAGCTAACATAAAATGAAATGATCCGAGCTTCATAATAACGTCCAGATGTTCCCCTGCTATAAGGCAGCCAGAGTTATTGTCTTCATTATGCTGGCACCTTCCCTGAAGGTGGGAACAAAAAGACTGGTCAAGAAATTCACCTTGGTAAAATGAAGTACTTCAGATGACTGAACTAAGGGGAAAAAACAGAACTAATACTTTAACGAGGATGTGATTGAATGGCATTAGTGTCCAATTGAATGGCATTAGCACACCCATCCGCGAATGGCTCTTAGTACTTATGTTGAAACAATGGAACCTTGTCCAGATCATGTTAAACATGGCTTTAAAAAAGCTATAATTGCTGTTTCTCCATCGTACCATAACGACGACTAAAAAGTTTCAAAAAGTTTACTAGATTTATGACATCTCTGCGAAACTTTGCATATTCAACTTACTTGCTCTGCACAGTAAAAGCAATCTTCTTGTTCTACTTTTGTACAATGCAGTCCTAACCAGTCTTTATAAAAAGATCAGGAAACTATTTTTTTTTTATTTTTCAGACTGTCAAGCTTAATTCTTTCTTTTCTTACAGACTGAAATTCAGCACGAACCATGATCCCAAGTTAAGTACACATTAACTTACCCAAATTAACCAACAGAACAATTTGCAAGCTCAAATACTGAGCAAAAAATACCAGCCATAGGTCAAACTTCTCCATGGAATTAGTCCTCTTCTTTGCAGTAGGCATCAATTATCTTCAAATGGTCAATATAAAAGGTATTGCAATGATTTTTTTATTTTATTTTATTTTGCAAAAGCAAAACAGCCACTAATATTTCCTGAGCTCAGCTTTTATCTGGTTCTAAAGGACCAGAGAGATTAATAGATAGAAATCACTGAAAAAAAGCTGTTACACTTACCTTTTTCAATTTCCTTTTGTGCATTTTCTGTGAACAGAGAAATATTTTTATATCCTAGAAATAATTCTTCAAGCACTTAACATTCGGCTTTAAAGACTATACAGAAGTGATTAAGCCACAACGATTTGTATGTATAGTTGCACGTATATAATTGCATGTATATATACATACACTTAAATTATTGAATGCTAGGTAACTAGATTTCAAAAGTAAATTATTTTTAATAGACTCAGTTTAAACAAGTACAGTACAGGCATTGACTGAAACAAAAATAGAAACTTTGTTTCCTCAAGTTAAGCCAGTTTGTTGCAACATTCAAAACAAAAATACTCGACATCAAGCACAAAACACATTGTGACAGCTAGCCTTTTCTCTGCTGTTCAAACTCGCAGCCGTTCAGGGACCAGCAGCTAAGACCACGTTTTACAGAGCCACAGAAGAGTCGAGGTTGGAAGAGGACCTCTGGAGATCCATCTAGTCCACCCACCCCGCTCAAGAAGGCTCGGCCCAGGGCTGTGTCCAGTTGGGTTTTGAACGTCTCCAAGGATGGAGACTCCGCAACCTCTCCAGAGCAACCTGTGCCAGTATTCAAACACCTTCACAGTAAAAGACTTTCTTCTGTTCTCTGATAATTTAGTATATACCCAGTTCTATTTCACAAGTCATACTGACTGATCATCTGACAGGTGGCAAGATTCTGCAAAATGGATGAGAAGTTTCAGGGATGACTGGACGCAAATTTTAAAAATCTCCATGGATTTGTTCCCACATACTCTTTTTTTTTTTTTTAATTCCAAAACATTTTTGTTTGTATACAAATTTCTGAGATTAGTTCCTGGGCAGCAGTTCACTCCCTCAATTATGGCGTCACAGTTTAACCTCAGCTGGCAACTGAGAACCACACAGCCGCTCGCTCATTCCCCCCCTGTGCCGGTATTTTCTTTCCTTTAGAGTTACCATCAATATAAAACAGCTACTAGATATATTCTGCTCTCCTTCTGTAAGTCAGAAGTCCTAAAAAAAAAAAAATTAAAATCTCATCCTGAAGATTAAGCTGTTCAGAAATTGAAGTAAATATTCAGACAAACAATCAGGTTTGCATTTAAAAAAATGAAAATACCTTCCTAGCATGTCGTAATTTCAAGCAGAATATGTTGGATTGTCCAGAACTTTACAAAAGCTACCTTTAGCCCAGGAAGCTTAATTTTTTTTAATTGTTTCTGTAGTCATTAGAGAGTCAAAAAACTCCCAGTACAATTCAGAGGAATAAGTTGGGTTCCTCCTCTGAACTGCATCCTGACTTCCTTCACTGCTGGTGAAAGACGCAAGCTGTCTGGAAGAAGCTATATAGTTTTCTCTTTTTCCTAAAACTTTTTTTTTTTTTTAATACAAAAGTATTTCTAGAAAAAACATTTTATAAGTGTCTCCAGTTTTCACATGAAACAAAATTTTGTGTTGAAAATTTTGCATCTACTGAAAGGTGGAGTGGGTCTTGGCAGGGAAAAATTGGTCTGGACACGTCTTCTGGCCAAAACACACTGCCACTTCTATGCCCTGCTCAATCACATCCGTGCGGCAGCTTTACCCACACTCCAACATGGTATTTGGGGTGTCTGAGGGGTCTTTCTATCACAGTTTTGCATAAGGGCACTAGGAAATGTTCTAATGCTCTAAGGAGCCTGGACATGACAGCTTGGGGAACTGTCAAAAAGTCATTTTTCTGGAAATGGTAAACTCTTAGCTAGATAGTGGGTCGGGGGGAGAAAACCTGTGAAAGTTTTTGCAGAAAAGGTGACTCATACCAAAAGCTTTTTACCACTTCTTTCAACATCTGCAGGCAGAAAAGCTGAGGTTAAATGGGATGCAAGAATTTCCTCATTTCTCATCAGAAGCAGGAATCAGCAGTGGACCAGTCTTTCTATGTTGGCTGCACGTAAGGTGACTTACTCCCCGAAGGCACCCTAGCTGGAGCCTACAGGTAGATAGAGTCAACCAAAGTCCCAATCTTTTGAAGTCTCTGTCATAAAACAACCTTAGAAATACAACTAATTAGCCCCACGGTTTATACCACTGGCCAACATTTCCACTGTTGCATATATCTTTCAAGATGTTCATGATGAAATATAGTATTAATATGACTTTTTAATACGATATTAATATGACTTACTTTCACGAGTAGTTGTCTTATTGTTCTCTGAGAGAGAGAGAGAAAGAGAGAGGCAGGGAGAAGGAAAATGTTAACTTACTCTCTTCTTGCTTGTAGGTTTTCAAATGAAACTTTTCATATTTCATGGCGGTCATGTTTGGTAAGGAAGCAATTTATTTTCAAAATATCTTGGTTTTCATATACTTATGTCTTCCATTAAAATAATGAGAAATCATACAGAATTTAATGAATAAAACTAGTGACGCTGAAGGCAGAAAATAATCAAACTTAGTATGCTGTCTTGGCAACAGATTTATATTGTATAACTGTGCTAGAAACCAGCTTATAAATCAATAAAATGACTTGCAAATAAATTAAGCCACTGGATACACTTGGGTACACTAACATATTTCAGTTATTTGCAAGAATTTTTTTATTTCAAAAATGAGATTAAGTTGCAGTGATAATTTCGCTATAGTAATATGTCAATTCATATTGCCAAATATGATTGTACAGGTTTATACCCCAAGATGTCGGAGTAGTTAAGAGATGCTTTAAAATGAATATGCAAGGAAAGCAAAAATACAGTGAAAAGGCATGAAGAATCACGAGGGTGATTGTTCATAATCCTGTACCCTCCTCCCCAGATAATCCTGGACATGGTGATGTTGTCTTTCAACTGGATTGTATGAAGCATTCATCACTTTAGCATTAAGAGTGGAACTTACTTCTGAGTTTATAAATTGCAGCAATAACCAGGAATATGCCCAAGAGCAGGATCACGACAAAAGCCGCCAGCCAAGGGGAGGTGGCAGGAAAGAAGACATCTGCAAATTATTTCAGATTATCAGCTACAACTTTCCTTGAACTATCAACTTTATACTTTGATTACATGCCTAAAGTGAAACAAAACAAATTTGGATCTAAATTTAATTCCTAGACACCTATAGGAGCAATTCACTGGGATTTTTACATCCCTAGACTATTTTATAAAGCACCATCAGAGATTTGTGTAAACCTAACAATAGTTTAAACCCCCTGCCATAGAATAGAATAGAATAGAATAGAATAGAATAGAAAATAGAAGAGAATAGAATAGAATAGAATATTATAGATGTTACAGGAATAGAAACAGAAGTGGAAGAAAATGAGGGGAAAAGAGAGAGAGAGAGATGGAACAGCATCCTCCATCCTTGCAAGCGAGAATAAGCACCACTCGATAACAAGATTTCATTTCCCCCAGATGGCATTACATCCACGGAAGGGTGTTTTTATTATTAATATTTTGACAATGTTTGGGAGTTGCCCATAGAAACTAATGGTCGTTCAGTGCAAAGACCAAGAAGTATCACAGAAGAAAACTTCTGTGAAAACTGATTATTCTATTCCACTAGAAATCTGAGGTTCTGGGGCAATCTGCTCTGTATGCATCTTTTTCCTCCCAGGACACAAGGACACAGGCTCATACTCACCTGCAATGACAACTGAAGTTTCTGTTGATGTTTTCAGCAGTTTATCAATTATTTTGCAGGACACAGAGTTTCCAGATCCTGGTTTTAGAATGATGGAGCTGCTGGTATTAGCAGTGGTGGTGCCAGTGGTGAGAGGAGTCCCAGTGATGTTGTCTCCTCTACCATCTGTCCACAACACCTGAACTTCAGAAAACAACCTCTCAGAGAAACATTTGAGTCGAATACCACCATCCTCATAACCATCCAAGACAAGTAACGGATCATGGCCGATGCCTACAGAAGAGAGAGACAAACGGGTGAGCTGTGCTCAGCAATCGCAGTGGTTTTAAAGGCTAAGGGGGAAGAAGACTGTGAGAAGTTTTGCATTTATGATGCCCTGTAAGTGCTTTCCCCACTGAAGTTGCAGCCCTTATCCTATGACATTAGCACATCCTCTCACAGCTCTGATCAGGAGCAGCAGCTACAAATTTGTGGATGAAGAAAAGCACATAGATGCATTTGAAACACAAAGTCATCCATTTCAAATTACAAGCATCCAGCACTGCCACGCATCATGCAAGTCAAAATTACCTATCACCTCCCTTTGTAGTGTTGACAACATTAGGTTATCTAGGTATGTTCATCTCACCAAATTTTAGCCACCTAAAAGATAAGTGCTCGTTGAGGCAATCATCTTGTAGAGAAACCATGGTGAAACTGCATTCCCTACAGAGTGATTCATTCCCTTAGAAGATGGGAATCCGAGATAAATGAGTTATGTTATGCTTTGGGAGGGCCCGTCTTCTCCTATTGACTGTACAGGTACCTTAGACGAATAGCTCTCAGATGCCCAATTTTAATGCCTACAGTTGAACACATTGAATCCCAGAACATACATCTGTGTTCACACGAAATCCAAAGAAATCATCTAAATCTGGACCTCCTTCAGTGGAGAAGAAAGTCATAGGGGACATCAGTTCAAATCTATTCATAGTCTCCGAAATGGATTTAGTACAGAGTGAAATTAATCTATTACAGAGCAAAATTACCTGCAGTGGGATGGTGTGTAGATACCAATAGCAAGATGAAGATGACTGCTGTCAGCTGGACCAGCGGCCCCATACCTATGTGGAAGACAAAAGTCTATGTTTGAATACAAAATAAATTATGTGGGGTGCTGCACAGTTAGGTTACATCATTCCCAGATTCACTCCAACATCTTCTTGTCTGCTTATGTGCACTACCCACATGCTTAGTTGCACCCCAGATGAACCTGGGGAGTGATTCAGCAGCCAGAGAAGTCCTATGATTGTTCTTATGGTCTGTATGGAGACACTCCAACACTGATAATAGTCAATGGTTATGAAGTGAGCAATTCCTGAGCTGGGCAGACATGTGTCTCCTTAGTAGTACCAGTAACAGGACTTGAGATGGCTCCTTGGAGTTAAAAGGCAAAGACAATACAGATACAAAATCCCAGAATATAATTTCTGCCTTTAAAAAAAAAAAAAAAAATCAAACATAAGGACACACTGGTATTTTGTAAATTAAATATTTCACTTTGCAAATATTATAAACATTTTTTTCCTCAAATATTTTTAATGAAAGTAGAAATGAAAGTTTCTAAAATAAACAGGATTTTAAAGCAGAAGTTTCCAAACAAACCCGCCCTTTTCTCTCTCTCTACATGTATAGATATAAAACCACACATAAAATATATATATTATACTATAATAAATATAACTCAAATAGAAAAAAAAAGGAAGATCTTCATTTGACTTTGACCTAGCAAAACATAATAAACTCTGCTTTGAAGCTCACCGCATGTCCAGGTAGGTCATGGATTTGCTTCTCTCCTCCCCACCACACACTTTTTTGCAATACAAAATGGAACCTCTCATTAGTTATGGCCTGTGCGAGAGCAGGCTCCTGGCAGGACCTGTGGCCCCATGGGGGACCCACGCTGGATCAGTCTGTTCCTGAAGGACTGCACCCCGGGAGCAGTCTGTTCCTGAAGGACCGCACCCTGTGGAAGGGACCCACACTGGAGCAGTTCATGCAGAACTGCAGCCCGTGGGAAGGACTCACGTTGGAGAAGTTCGTGGAGAACTGTCTCCCTTGGGAGGGACCCCATGCTGGAGCAGGGGAAGAGTGTGAGGAGGAAGGAGCAGCAGAAACAACGTGTGATGAACTGACTGCAACCCCCATTCCCGCTCCCCCTGTGACACTGGGGGGGAGAAGGTAGAGAAAATCGGGAGTAAAGTTAAGCCCGGCAAGAAGGGAGGGGTGGGGGAAAGGTGTTTTAAGATTTAGGTTTTATTTCTCATTATCCTACTCTGATTTGATTGGCAATAAATTAAATTCGTTTTCCCCAAGTCAAGTCTGTTTTGCCCGTGAGGGTAATTGGTGACTGTCCTCATCTCGACGCACGAGCCTTTCGTTATATTTTCTCCCCCTGTCCAGCTGAGGAGGTGAGTGATAGAGCAGCTTTGGTGGGCACCTGGCGTCCAGCCAGGGTCAACCCACCACAATGGCTAGTAAAGGGAGACCAGGAAATTAAATTATGTTAGAAGCCTAACACTTAGCTAGTTAATGATACATAGTATGAGTCCTACTTCTTTTATCTTTTTGAGGCACAATATAGTCCCTTCCTATAGCCATTAAGAATGTGAGATTTTGACATATTTTTTATTTGTTTTCATAATTTCCTCTTTTTTTGAGCCTTCACACACCATCTTCAGGACTTCCTCTGCTGCCAAGATAACTAGAGAAATTGTTTCGCTTTGGTTTTTGTATCACAGCTGAGTCTGATAGAGCTACAAGAACTGAGATGCTTGGGATCCAAGGCAATAGGAAAGGAAAAATAGAAGAGAATGGAGTAGAGTGGAATGGAAAGGAAAAGGGAAGGAAAAGGGAAGGAAAAGGGAAGGGAAGGGAAGGGAGAAGAGAAGAGAAGAGAAGAAGAAGAGAAGAGAAGAGAAGAGAAGAGAAGAGAAGAGAAGAGAAGAGAAGAGAAGAGAAGAGAAGAGAAGAGAAGAGAAGAGAAGAGAAGAGAAGAGAAGAGAAGAGAAGAGAAGAGAAGAGAAGAGAAGAGAAGAGAAGAGAAGAGAAGAGAAGAGAAGAGAAGAGAAGAGAAGAGAAGAGAAGAGAAGAGAAGAGAAGAGAAGAGAAGAGAAGAGAAGAGAAGAGAAGAGAAGAGAAGAGAAGAGAAGAGAAGAGAAGAGAAGAGAAGAGAAGAGAAGAGAAGAGAAGAGAAGAGAAGAGAAAAGAAAAGAAAAGAAAAGAAAAGAAAAGAAAAGAAAAGAAAAGAAAAGAAAAGAAAAGAAAAGAAAAGAAAAGAAAAGAAAAGAAAAGAAAAGAAAAGAAAAGAAAAGAAAAGAAAAGAAAAGAAAAGAAAAGAAAAGAAAAGAAAAGAAAAGAAAAGAAAAGAAAAGAAAAGAAAAGAAAAGAAAAGAAAAGAAAAGAAAAGAAAAGAAAAGAAAAGAAAAGAAAAGAAAAGAAGAAAGAAAAAGCACAACATATTGCAAAACACATAGGAAAAAAAGCTGTGAAAACAAACAGCAAGGCTTAAAGTGCCTGCCAGGTACTCTGCTGAGACTGCAATGCCAACACTGTAGCAAATGCAAAGACTGCAACAAACACCCGGAATGGGAAGAATAATGCTGCACGCTGAGCACAGCAGCTACAAGCAGGGGCAAAGAGAAGGATGAACAACAAAAATGAAAGTAATGCCATAGGGAAAAAAAAAAACCACAACACAAAATGGAGACGCGCAGTAAGGGATCTGTGCCCGTTACATGATACCAGTGCTCATCTGGGGCTTTCCAAAGGGTCTGTACATCCACATCTCACTGTCAGAGCATGGATTTCTCTCCACTAAGTCCAATCTACCCGACCCCAAAGCCAAATCTAATAGTAAGCATGGCTTCAGGACAGATAGATATGAAGGTATGATTGAGGGTTTTCTCTCAGCAGTTCACCATGCAAAAATACACACAAAACAGAGCTCAGCAGAGATAATCCCCAGATCTTTCAGGACAACACCCAAAACGTCTGGCAAACAACACAACACAAAGCCTGCAGGAAACAGAGGGCTAAGAAAACGTTCAGAGCTTTTCCCTACAGAAGCAGCCAAATAAACCGTTGCTTTGACAGAGAGAAACACAAACCTGGATTTCCAGAAACGCAGCTGCTCCTTAAAGAAATGCATATGCAGGTGCTTGCGTCTGTTGGCAATGCTCAGAAGGCTGCTGGCACCTTTGGACCCTGCAATCCTGACCATAAAACTAACCCTTTTCTTTTGAAAGGTTACCTATTAACCTTTGCAATGCAGTACAGTGAGAGTGAAAGAAAATAAAAATGGGTGGGGCTGGGGATTTATACTCTGTGGTCAAATATCCTATGACAAGTAAAAAGAAGTGTAAAGAGCCCTTAGAAAACTTCAGACAGCGGAAGCTTTCTTTAATGCTGTGGAAAATGGACTCCAAGAAACTAGTAGGGCTGTCCAATAAATTACCGTTAATCTAAAAGTGCAATAATCACTGGAAAAAGGGATGACTGTTATTGACTGTTGTGCCGGTGTGCTCCCCCCGTCCCCTGTGTAAGCAATGACCGCCAGTGGGGGTCGGTGTGGGTGGGC